CCGTACCCGCTGCTTTAGCGAGCCTACTTTTCGACCCTCATAGGCCTCCTAGGCCACAAAATACTAGAAAAATATAGTGTTTCGCACCTTTTCTACCTTTCCGTGTAACTACGTCTTCTTTTTCCCGACCCTTTCTCTTCTCTAACTCTTCCCACCTCTGCTATTCCATCTATCATGTTGTCCGAAATTTGAGGCCTAAATTTCCTTCCAAAATGGCCAAAGATACAAACAAACAAAATTTTATAAGGAAATAAAATTAAATTCATCTGCTGCACCTGTAACATTATACAAACTCAGAAACGACATCTTGATACAAAAATTCGGATGTTCTTTTATCCTTTAAGGATAGAATACAGACTTGGCCCCTTTAGGGCGCACAGGTCGAATTCAATGAAATCCCGAAGCATGTTTCAAAGATTTCACGTAAAGTTATTACTAGCAATGAAGCGTGAAGCGACGCAGAAATATCAACAGCTCTTCCCTCAACCAATCTAAATCTACGAAAATCATCGGCTCAGTCATCCTCATCGCTGAAATCGTCCCGCACGATTCGTCCTGACCAGCCCCGCCCCTCGCGCATCAGGCCCGAAGTTGAACCTAAATCAAACTTGCACCCTGTCCTCGACCGGGAACAGTGACTGCTGGGGCTGCTGGCGTTGCAGACCGCGGTTTGGAGCCTAAACCAGGAACAAGGAAATGGATTACATTGTTAGGGCAGCCCATGGAAGTTTGCGCGTCCAGTGCAACAAAAAAGTGTCCCGAGATTCGACTGCAAGCCAAAGAACTTGCACTTGTGCTGCTTCTTGCGCTAGACCTTAGCTGAATGAACTTCGGTATAGCGAAAGCGTGCGGAAAACATGACGGGATGAGACGTCAACTAATTCTTTCAAATAGTGCCCAAGGCGGATGATCTTGCACAAAATCCGCTGGGTTTCAACGGCCGCTTCTTCTGCTTCTTCTCTGACTTCTCCAGCATTGTGAAAGCGCGCAAGACCTTAGCAATTGTGGGGTGTAATAATTCAAAATCCAGCAAAGAGCTCCAATTTGGGTCTGGTCATCTGACCGGGGTACTCAGATAACAACCACATTTTAAGCTGATTCGCCTGATCCCACCATATACCAACCGGCATTTATGGGGACACAGCTTGGGGACAACCTTCGCGTGTCTCGCAGGTCAAAGACTCAGGTTTGGACAGGATTGCTTTTTTCTTCTTTTTCTGAAACCAGTTCAGAGGCACGTACCTTGCGCAGGACAAACTTATGGCCGCACCAGAGGCACCAACACAGAGAAATTGACCAACCCCACTTGCAGAGCTCCTGCCTTTGCAAGGCATCCGCGCATCTGTTTGTCGATAACATAGATCGTCCTGCCCATCTTTTGCCAACAAAAAACGCCTTTCTTCCTGTCAAGTTGCAGATCTGTCTGGGTCGCGCCTGCTTTTTCGTTCCACAATTTTTGCTGGCATCCAGGCACCGTGAGAAGCAGAGTAATACGAGACTTGTTCTCCAATAACATACCTCAGTTAGTTGAAGTCCCCTAGCAGGCCTAGCAGCTTCCAATTATTTTCTGCTTTTAAGTGAAGGCAAACAAACCTGTTGCGCCAAGATGCTCGAAACCAGTGAGCGCCGAAGACAAGTCCTGCAACACATGTCAGTTCTTGATGTCTCGTGCTTGACGCTGCCAAGTTTGCTCCTCAGGCACCTGATGTGGCTCCGAAGAGGGCCTCAAGTTGAACGATCCCACTATTCATACCAACCAGAAACATCAACAAAACGGTTGACTGGGGCTGAAACGTTTCTTGCCAGCGTTCTGAAGCTGCCTGCAGACATTTATAGATATGGTGATCACAAATCTGCCCCTTGAAAACCTTGCGAAGCCCCGAAGCCCCTGGCATCTCTTTTTACTGGTCCGGCTGTTTATGACAAGCGCACCTCGGCTGACTTCTTCGAAGGGCTCTCCTCGAACCTCAACTGCTTCCATGCTGAAACTGCTGGCTATTGCGCCTTGCAAAAACCAGTATGGACGTTGCAACCATCCTGTTTGCAATTTTGCAAGACAAGATCCTCAGCTAATTTGGCCTAATTTGGCAAGCGGCAGCTCCACTTGCTGCAGCTCGTCTTCGTCCAACACTGGTTGGTCTTCCTGGACTTTGCCGTGCAGAGTTGATCCCAGTGTGCCAGGAATGCAGCTGGAACAAATGCACGTTCAAAAGGCTGACAGCCTCTTTGGGTTGCAATGAGTCCTGCAGCTCCCCAGTTGGGAGGAAGGCTCTGACAAGAACTGCCATGGGCAAAGCTTTCTGTTTCAGCTAATCTCTCTCCTTCGATATGCGCAGTTCGACGGCGTGTGACCGCTTTCCCAAGATCTCCTGCTCCAACATCAGAAGGGAATCAATCCTGCAGGAATGAATCAAGTGCGCAGAAAACCGCCAACAACAAACGTGTTGCACATTACTAAACCCACTGCATGCTTAAACTGTTAAGCCCAAATCTTTGCTTTCTGTTGACGTAGCCTCACACGGCACTGAGGCCGCAACTCCGGCTCCAATCCCCAGCCACCTCAAAATACTACGTTACCACGTAAGGATTTGCAATGGGCCAAGGAAAAAAACGCCATCAGCGCCTCCACCTGGGGAACCTTCGTCTTCGGTCTCCTAGCTGTCAGCGGTGTCTTTGCACACTTGGATGTTCCAAACTTCCGGCGAATCTGATGTCGTGAGACGGAAACCGTTGCAGAAACAATCTGGATTCAGGCCCTATCCAGTGCGCCTCACAAAGCGCCTCTGCCTCCAATATCCAAGGCGACATCACGCCGCCCTGCCAGATCCAGTAACGTGTGCAAACTCAAACTTGCAAGCCTTGTTGGTTCAAGATCACTGACAGCCAGCTTGCTTGGTGACTTGACAGTTTAAAGTGCAGGCGTCCGTGGGTTTGAAAAGTGGTCTGACAATTACAAGGTTTGTCCAAATCTTTTTGCCTTTCACTTCAGAAAGTCTTTCTCTCTAAACGGGTGGCACGCCATCTGAACTGGCCTTCACGGGAGAAGCCACTCCAGAGCTAACAACAGATGCATCAGCTGACGCCACGCCGCTGCCACCAGGAAAACCTGGAGTGTCCTGAGTACCACAAACGGCTTCTGAGCAAAACCACATGAAAGATACAGCCGTTCAAGAAGGAGGCGTAGGTGCATTCTGTACGGTGCTTGGTTGGCTCTTGTTCAATTCAGTTGAGCGACAACTCCGAAGCCAGGTGTTCCCAGGCTGTGTGCTTGAGCTGCACCCCCGCCCAAGCCACGAGTCAGCTTCATCCTGTGCAAGATTATGTGGAAAAAGGCGTTGAGCAAAGAGCACAAACTTGAACCTGCCTCGTCCCCTGTTGGGCCATAGAATCACGCTGCTCCTGTTGACATGCACAAGCTTCAGATCCAGTATGGTAGGCAAGGTAAAATTCATGAAGAATGCGAACAAGGTGTTGCATGTTGGAAAATTTAGATGCAGGCTCCTCCCGAAGCTCTGCCAAGTCAAATGCGCGTCCAGGACTTCCGCCTTCACGCGAGTGCACCGTGGTGCCCATGCCTCTCACAACGTTTTCAAAGGCGAAACGAACTGTTGATTCAGTTAATTTATATGATCCGGCAACGTGGCAACGTGGCACCGGAAGAAAAACGCATTTGTCCTGGCCTAGCTCTCCACCAGCTCGCCAGGCTGCCGCGCCAGTGCGAGGTGGAGAGGAGTCTGGACTAGCGCCTAGGCAACAACAAAGAAGGACCGGGTACACACACACACAATGGGTTAGTTATGATTGGTTCAGTGGAAGCAAAAAAAATCGAGAGAAGGCCTCCTGAAGCTGACCCACGAGGAGTTGATTCACGAGGAGTTGGTTGTGGTGACAATTGGACAGGAGGAGGGCTGCGTGGGAAACGCCTCACAGCATCCAGTGCTCACTCCGCATCAACTAGTGTCCACAAAAAATGACTTGAACAGCAGAAGAAAGCTCTGAAAGATCCACAATCACGGAGTTGCAAGGATTCAGTCGAGCATTTCAAGTACTCAGCCGAGCACCTATGCTGCATAGATTTGATCTGCTCTTCTTGCTTGATCCGGCAGTTGTTGCGACCCCAACGTGCCCACTTGAGAAGAAGCAACCTTGGACAAGGCCGAACACTGTAGGTTGCTTTTAAGGGACTCCATCAGTATGTCCAGTATGTCTTGTTACGGCGGTTACGACAGGCTTTGTGCTGCCATGATGCTGGGTGCTTGTTGATACTGTGACAGATGGAAAAGGTAAACTATCCACCTGTCAGCGCAAGATTTTCAAAACAAAACTAACAAAACTATCCATGGAGGAGCGTCAAATTCTGCCTCTGAAGGCAGCTGCAATAGCTGCTAGCATTTGTGCAATAACTTACCCGACATGATCGCAGCGCAGATTCAGCCTAAATCAGTATGGTATGAACATCTCTGTGCCTGTGGCTTGGACATCGGTGAGGTGATCTGGCACAAGGCTTCAGGGCACAGCTTTGTTGCAGAATGTATGATGCTGGCTGTGCAACAAGCTGTGTCGCCTCATAAAGCGGCCGCGTCGACCGGGCCGTAACTGCCAACTGTGCTGAAACTGCTGACACCTCGGGACAGTGCAGAGTGCGAGCATCGACTACAGATCCAGTCGGAGGGTAACATCCATTGTCAGAAGCTTCCATTACAGCCACTACAGTCATTACAGTCATTACAGTGGTTGTGTGGTTGTGTAGGGTGCTGGAACTATCATATCTGCACTTGACAAGGTGAGCATCTTTGAAAACCATGTTCACACAAGAGTCTGAATTTATCATCAAACCAAACGGTTGAAATGACGCAGAATGTGACACATGTTGTATGGGCATCTGGGGCCCAGCTTTGCGTGGTGGCGGCAGTGGCACAGAGGCCTGAGGCAAAGAAATTGGGAGCCAGCTGTTTCAACATTCAACGCTGCCACATGCGGAAATCTGGCCTCGAGCACTTTCCCTTCCTGAAAGGACAGTAGTTTCACATGCAAATCAATGTGGCAATTTGATACATTTTTTGTGATCTTCTTGGCCCACAAATGGCCCATTCTACCTTTCGCTTATTCCCCTTGAATCTTGTCTAGTGACAAAGATTCAATGTGAAAATGATGAAGGCAAAGAAACCCATTCACGGATTCAGTAATTCAGCCGCACCTCGCTCTGCCTTCTGGGAGTGAGCACGCTTGCCACTGCCCGCAATGTTGCCTGCTTCCGAGAGCCATCTGAAATATTTGAAATCTTTATATATCTGGTGGAATTGTGCGTCTCAAATCTCCAGCATACAAAAGCGCCTCCATTTCCTCTTCATCCACGCTCTCATCAGAGGAATCCTAGCGGGCTTGTCAACTATTTAACTGGCATTCTTCGGCAAACCAAAGCAAGCACCTGAAACATACAACTAAATCGTTGCAAACGCATTACATAGGGGGACCATGCTTGGATGAAGTTTTGAAAAACTTGGCATGTAAACTTAACCTGGTTTACTTCTCAATGGTGGGACATCCAGATTCTGCGGGACTCCTTCGCCTCTGTGGGTGAACTTGTAGCCTTCGGAGAACTCGCCTTTGCCTTGGGAGAACTCTTTGGGCGCACAGCCTGAGCTCCCCAAATCAGCAGTGCACAAGCAACTTGTTTGGGTCAAAGCCATGTTATCCTGGTTGAATGTAGCTGAACAATGAACAATATGGATACATGATTGATACATGTAGGATGTTTGCCCCAATTTGAGGAAGTTTGGTTTTGATCTGCTGCGGCTGTACTCAATTCCAGTCAAATTACTTAAGGTCACATAGGGCTTCAAGTGCTGAGGGCCGGGACTGGGACTTGAACCCCAGCGCTTGCCGCTTCACATTTCTCGTCCTTGGCCTTGTAGCTATCAAGCATGACTCAGTATGACCAAAGAGAAAAAAGAAATCAAAGTGCAAACCGTGATCCAAAGGAAGCTTTCGATCTGTCAGACATGATTTGCAGAGAAATTGAACATTGCCACGTCTAAGTCGCAAGTGTGACATTTGGATTCTGTCGCTACCTGTATCTCGGTCTTGGCAGGAGCGTCTTTGGCTTCCTTGGCTTCTGGCTCCTTGACAGCATCGGCCCCATCCCCTGGACCCAGACTCACTGCACTCGCTGGATGGTTGGAGCTGTGAGCCGCGCCCGGACTGGAGAGCTTTCTGCAGCTTTGCCTTCTGGCCTCGAATGCGAAGACTCGGGGATTTCACAACTTATCTTATCAAAAATGCAGAATGCTGAGTCAGAAACATCCCTGGCAGGTCCACCTGTCGGGTGAAGTGACACTGACGCCAAAATGCCTTCTGTCGCCTTCTACTTACAAATCTCAGAGACTTGTCGCACGCCTGGGCTGAAGGCTCCGCCTCTGCAGCATCCCGTGGCCCTTCCCTGAGGCAGATCCAAACCGGTGCATCGGTGGATGGTGGAGACGCTTTCCAGTGCTGGTTGCCGTGAAAGGCCTTCAATGAAAGCCTGCTCCATCATCGAATCAGTAGCATACTCTACTTCTTTGATGTGTCTAGCTCCTTACCATGCAATGACCCAAAGGTGTCCCTTTGAAAAAAAAGAGAAATGATGGTATCGGATGGTATGGGACAACACTCTGAATTCTTGGGCGCATATCATTCCTTTCCTGACGGCCTTGGGATAGCTGGTTTATTCAAGGGTGCTAGGTGTGACGCATCCTAAAGCTAAACAATTCACTTTGAGTCACGGAGTTTCCATCCGCGTCCTGGCTCTGTCCCTACCGCACCTTGGACCCTGGGCAGCCTCTTCGGCCGCATCTGAGGCTGTGACTGGCGCCTGACAGCGTGGCCAAACTGAAATGGAAACAGATCCGAACAATTCAAACACATTCAAGACTAGCCAGAATTTCATCTGAGACCATGAACCGTCTCATTCCTCATTACCTCTGAAGCAAGTGACCCACAAGCAAGAACAATGGACTCATATCGACCCACTACCAATGTTCATTTTGCTAAAACTCTTCGGAACTTGGGCCGTCATTTGGGTCGGTGCTACGCTGCAGGTCTGGTGCCGCCTCTCGTCCAGCTCGCCAGCTGTCTGGCCGAACCCGTGAAGCCGAGGCCTGTGCCTCTTCGGAAAATGCCTGGAGCAAAAAGCAGAAGAAAATCGACATCGAAAATGAAAGTCATCGACGCTCTCCCCAAACCGTTCATTGTTCCATTGAGATAAAAGCATCTTTACCTGCTGTATGATTCTGTACCTCTTGAGGATTTTGAAGAAATATATGAAAGTTCACCTCTTGTCTGAGTGGCTATCACACACCTCTGCTTTGATCTCGGTTTCTCTACCTTTCCATCCAGTTTTTCTTGTTTCTCCAATGGTTTCGGTCAGGCCCAGTCGTGCCTTTCCGACGGATTGCCCGGAGGGAGACACTGCTGAGGATTTGTGCTGAGCAGCTTTGGGAGCACAAAGACCACACCTTAAGGTGCAAACATTTCGCGCTGCCACGGAAACATTGCCGACCACGGCCTGAATCATCTTGGTCAATACAGGAGCTTTCGTAAGCAGAAACATGACATTCAAATGAAACATGCGTCAACTTCCAGAAATGGCCCCAAAGGTTCTGACCCCATGGACGCCAAGGCGTCGCGAAGGCGCCTCATCATTTGAGCTCTGCGGCTTCTCCACTTTAATCTAATCTAATCTAGTCTTTTATCTATCTATCTATCTATCTATCTCCAGTTTCAAAGGACCCACGTGTCTTCACTGAATTCTTACTGCTCTGCAAATACTCCACTTTGAGCACTTAAGTCTAATCCTGAAACAGGGTCATGTCACTCTTCGTCCACTTGCACATCTAAACCAGATGTTTTTTTCCGTAGCTCCACTTTTTCCATTCTAGATATGTTTGTTTATCGTCTCGACGTGAGTTCCAACGATTCTATGCGGCCGTGCCTGTCTCAGGCTTGCAGCCATGGCATGGCGCTCTCCCGCGGTCCGCTACGTGGGGAAAAGAGCCATGCGAATGTTTCTGTTGTGTGGACCTGCTGCAGATAATCTACAGCCGAAGGTAGTTCAAGGTTCTTGTGTGGTGTGAAGAGTTTCCCTCAGGTCAAGGTGCCATTACATTGTATTCATTATATATAGATGTCCTTGGTTGCCAAGTTGACCTGAAGCTTGATGGTTTGATGGCGCTCTTGTGCTTTGATGGATCTTCAATGTATCACTTATGGGCTGTGTGCACCTGAGCCAATTCTTGTAGGCAGATGGGTCTTTAAAGGCTTGCATGATCAAAGATGAAGCTAGGCCAAGGACTTTGAAACTGCTTCAGTTGGACTTCTAATTTGCTTCGTCTCAAAATGAGGCATGCCTGCAATTTGTGATGAAGGAAATGAATGGAAATCATGAAAAACCATTGCTTTTTGGCACCCCAATTTTGGACCAAGCCAGCTCTGCTTTTTGGCCAGGCTTAGAGCTCGCTGCTTTGACAAGCTCAGGATGAACGCACCTCCAATGCCAAGGGATGGACCAAAAACCCAGATAATGCCACCATAAATGCCACCATATGTCGACCCCGATCTTTGCCAACCCTACAAAACAACTCATTGGCCTCGGCCAGTAGTCTCTCAAACTCAGCTTCCACTTCTGTTCCTGTGAGCCTGCAACATCCCAAACGAAATTTCAAATATACAATCGCATTGCAAACATCAAATATGCTTTTACATTGTACTGAATGTGCCTGGGATGAAGTTTCTCTTCCTCGAGAGAAAACGCTGATGCAATCAACTATTGAAACATCAATTTGATTTGAAACTTCAAATAACTGAACGATGAAAAGTTGCACATAAGCTACAAACACAAGTTATTCACATCAAGTGAGTCATTGTCATTGGCTCCTTTCGTCCGGGCAAGCACCGCCAGTAGCGATAAACCCGTTTCTGTTTGTTGACCTTCAGCGTGAGATGTTCGTGGCCAGGAGTTTGCGCCGTCAAACTTTTGAATTCTTCCTTAAACGATCTTAAAGGTTTGAATCTGTCTTCTCCTTCTAAAACCAATTTGTTTTTTTAAACCGTTAAATGAATTGGCATGACCATATGGAGAAAGTCGGGACGCAAAAAGGTAAAGGCTGTCTGGTTGGTCTGAGAGTGGGACGTCTTGCTTCATGACCCGCATTGAAGACTGCAGCAAATCTCATTGAAAACTCAAAAACTGTAGACTGTAGACCTATGTCTGTCGACCTTATGTTTGTTGGCTACAGAGCTGTCTCACTCATTCGAAGTGCTTTTCCATCGGTCTTTCCATCTCGAGCTTTGAGCTTTGATTGCAGCAAAACATCTGTGTTCATCCAAAAGTATTGAGCCATAGACTTTATATATAGACTTTCAGGTGCATATCCCAGGCTTCTGTCGCCTGCCTTCTTGAAAGGGAACAGGTCCATTTCCTGCCAAAAAAGTTGAGGATCTTGCCACAAAACGAATCCAATGTGAAACAACTCTGCATTTTGCACACCGAAACAAACATAAAAGTAAGCCTGCATGTCAAGGATGGTAGGGAGCAAGCATGAAGTTCTGTTGACATGTCCCCATCAATGGGTTCGAGCTATGTCTTCGACAAAAGGTCTATTCATTTTGCATATCTTTCCTGATCGTAGAGGTATGCTGGGCTGTCACGGCTTTGCTGTCATTAGAAAGGAAACATCTGTACTTCCTGAAAAGAAACAATAAGAGAAACGTCAAGGACACAAGCTGGATATGACCCTTCACAAGGCTACCTCGTGGTCCAAAGGTGTCATATCCGCTGAAGCACGGATGGCAAACTTGGACTGCCTCTCGGGAAGTGTGCAGGGTCAAGAACGCGCGATGACAGAAGTGAAACCAAGTCGCAAACCGATGGTGCCGCAAGCTGCATTACACACTTTGATTTTGGACCAACTCTCGCACTGAGTCTGAATTCAAGGAAAGCAACAAGTCTCTCCCAAGCATTCATCAATGCAAGTGAAAGCAAGTGCACATTTTGAAAGTACAAAAGGCGCACCATTCAGCAAAGCTCGGGCAGTCGAAGTGAAGGACGTGGGCCCTCCTTTCCTGCAAATACCCAGTAGCGGCGTAGCGAATAGATCGAATCAGTGAACTTCGCCTCTTGCGTGTCCAAAGATTCCAAATCATTTGTGTCTGAGCTGTCACCGCAACCCTTTGCTTCATGTTACTACAACTCACCTATATTTTGCTCAGATTTGCAATTTCCTTGGGGAAGTTGATGGTCTGCAAATTCAAAGGACGTCCTGTATACAGCAGTCTGGATGTGAACAGCCAATCTCCTGATCAGCTCTTTCAACCGGGAACTGAAACTCGACATGCCGCAATCTGCATCAAAGAAGGATCAACGCCAGTCCCAGGTTCTCCTTGTCGTGCAGACCAAACTTTGGATCTGCCTCACAAGCAGTGACAGCCCCGAAAAGAAGGATTGCAAGATCGGTCAACAGATTCCGTCGCTTCCAAGGGCGTAAGTTCTGTCTGAGGTTAACCAAGAACATCCTTGATCATCAAAAACTGAATAAGAAACAAACACACTAGTAGGAGATCGAACAGAAAGCGCCGAGCAAAGCTTCCAGCCTCTTTGAACGCTCTATCATGTTGGCAAAAGTGATGTACTCCGCTTGCAAAGACCTCACAAGACAAACAGAACGCTGTGAGACCTGTGAGACCTGTGAGACCTCCGTCAAATGCTGTGGCTGGCCTCCCCAGGTGCAGTGAGATTTGCAGCACCTGCAGCTGCACGGCGTAGTGGCAACACTGGCGACACGGACGGCACTGGTGACACTATTCTAAGATGTAGGCTCTTGCCATTGCAGTACAAGACTTGATGATCTTGCCTCCCAACAGTGTGCCAGTTTGAACATGAAAGAAATGCAAAGACCACTGAAAGGGGAGAAAGGATAGAGCACTGACTGGCTAGAAATGCTTTCTTTTTGCGCTGCCATGACACTCTACAAGGAGCGCTACTGAAGCAGGTGCTGACTTCCATTTTTCCAATATGTGCTGTAACATCTTCAGAAACAAGTCAACACCAACCTCAGAGTTAGTAGAACACGCTACTGCACCAACTAACCAATGACTAAGCAATGACTATGTCTATGTCGCAGGTTCTACGAAGCATCAGGTCACCATCTTGGCAGAATCCTGCGAGGACAATGCCAAGCGGTTCTGATGTTCGAACTGTCTGAACTGTTGTCTTTGCATTGACCCCAATCTGCAGTAAATGACAGTCATGTGACTTATGTGGGTGTGTTGGCCTTCACCCTTTGTCTTGTTCGTACCTATGTCCTGTTTGAAAGGGAAGATCCAAAGATATCCAAAGGAAAAAATAGGGAAAATGAGATTTTTTGCCTTGACTCACTCTCCCTCAACTCGCTCGACTCGACTCGGTGCTCCTACTCGTGCATTGCAGGGACGCCTGGTGGACACCGTGGACACCGTGGACACCACATCCAATGACATTCGATCTGACATTCAAATGATCCAAATCCCCAAATCCCGGTCCGGTCCGCTCTGTAAGCCCCGCCTTTTCGTCGGTAGTACAGGACATACTCCTCATCAAATGACTCCAATTTCTTCACTGATCCTTGCCTCCTGGTCAAAAATAATCTTCCCTTCCTGCATTGCATTTTCTTAGTCTTCCTACACTCTAGAGGGTAGCTGAGGCTCCAAATAGGTGGACGCCGCATCATAGGCCACGTATTCCCTGGCAAGGCAAAGGAAGTGAGGATCGAATGGAAAGCGTCTCTTGCAAGATCAAGCACGAAGATCAATATTTGATATCATTTGTATTCTTGGCATTCTTTTTTGGATAGACCAAAACCATTCGGAGCATGACTATATTGTCATCCTTGTTGCGTTTGTCAAAGCTTGGATCTCCACGAGAACCCCAAAACAAGTTGCAACGTCTTTCGGAAGACAAATAAAGACAAGGCAATCCCTCCCAGTGTTCAGAGACTGCCGGCCTGAATGTGTTTTTAAACTTCAAGCGATCTCCAACCGTGCTGTTGTAGTGACCTTCCAGCACCTCAAACATGATGTCGGAAACATCAATTCATCAATTTGAAAGGAGTTAGAAAAAGAATGCCCAGGTCTGTCGACCAATTTGGGTGAAGTTGAAGTGAGAGGCGCTCGCGTACAACATGTCAGCTTAAGGTGCTCAGCATCCAGCTCGCTTTGCAAACTTTGGCTTCTCTTTCTCTTGCACATCCTGACCGCTCGTGCGATACATAAAGCAAGAGTTCCTGCAAGGATCAGAACTGCGCTAAAAACTTGCCACGCTTAAGTTGTGAGGCTTGAAAGTGTAAGGCCATCTAACGCAATCAAGTGGAGAAACTCTTGTTTGATCATGACTTAGACCCAACAAAATCTCAAGGAGGAGGAATGATATCTTTGGACCCACCGGACCTTATCCATGTAGAAATGGCGACCGCCCAGTACCTGCCAAAGAGCTTTGCTTTCTCAAACTCGCAATCTAGAAGCATTCACCAAGGTCTTTACCATTGCACTTCGAAACCTGATCCAAAAAAAGCACCATTCTCAAACAAGCATGGTGCCACATCATGCCACTCAATCTCCTGATCCGCTGAGTTTTGCAGAGGGCACACGACAAATGGCAGCTGCGCGACAACCTTTGAATTCACCATGTTCCACCTGTGGCGCGAGACATCGGGTACCTTGGGCATGACGTGAAACTAACATAAACTATCTGCATTAATCATAGAGATTCCAAAACCAGATTTAAAACATTTCTTGATGGGTTCCCCGCATACATTTTTTGTGTGGCTTGGGATTGCCATGAGCCATCCAAAGCCATTCACCTGACATGTTTGAACGCAATGGATTCATCAACCCCATGACAGCATCAAGTTATCAAGGTTCCCGGGCCTTCCGCCGAGCATATTCATCTGCTTTGGTGATGGAATCTCCGAAGTAGGTGCCTCAGAGGTATCAAATTTGAAGAGGGAGAAAATGGGAGTTGCAAAAAAAAAATGGTGAAGGACAGGTCGAAGGGAATCAAAACAGACTCAACAGGAGGGACATCTTCAAAATGTTCGAGTGTAGAAGATACGTGGGGACATGGAAAGTAGAAATCTTAAAAAACAATAAATCTGTTTTTAATAACTGTTGCCAACACCCGCAAGGCATTGTTGAAGTCCGTCAAATCCCACCACAGTTTCTGGAAACGTTCTCAACTGCGATTGGTTTCTGTGGTGCTGTATAACTTGCTTTGATTTTTGGCTGGCACCTCAGGGTGTGACATGCTTCTTCTTTCTCTGGGCATAAACTTTCGCATGCTTTGGCAGTTTGGGATTTTGTTCGTTGGCGGTAGAACATCCCCGGACAAACAAGATCGTCATTTCGGATCATCATTTCATGTGGTAACATGTTGAAGCCACCAAAAAAAAACAACACATTTTCGAAACCAATCAGATCTCAGATCCAATGAGATCCAGCCCATCCACTGGGTGCCCTGGGCCATCGCCATACAAGCCACCACCACCGGTGGTGCCGCCGGAACCCAGCTTCGCCATGGTGAAGCCGGTGCGAGCGATGGCTGAGAGCGCCTGGAGGACAATATAACAATAATAACACCATAATATATCAATTGAATAATTAATAGTAACAATGATAACACTACATTATATAACACTTTCAGAATGATGATAGAAGAATGATGAAATCTATAATACGTACAACTAATAGTAAATGTCTGTGGAAATTCGAGGAAGTCTCAGACTGCCGTGACAGTGTCACCAGCCAAGCTGAGTTCCGCCTCAGGAATGCTCGCATGGAAAAGGAGCCTTGCAGCGATCTTGATTGGAGCTCCTATCTCCACGGGGCAAAAATCTGGAGAGATCATCTAGCAACTTCAAAGGGGATGCTACAAACACTTTGATCTTAACTGCCTTAGCTCGAACTTCAAAAGGCATCATTTATAGTTCATTTATCATCATTTTACCGATACCTGTCCATCCAAGGCGCCATTCGTTGGCATCCTCGCAGAAGTTCAGGTCGCCCCAGTCCAAGCCCTTGGCTGCCTGCACAGGAAATCCCAAAATTTTGAGGGACAAAGAGACAGAACAGTCTCCCAGTGATGCTGACATAGTTGTCAATCTTTTAGGAAACTTCTTCCAAAATAAAAACTGATGTCCTATTTTCAGCTTTGTTTCCGTTGCCTCCATGGTCAATGGAGCCCACTTCTTGAACGGGGCTTCCTGCAGGGTGCCACAACCACCACATGACCACTGGATGTTGGTAGAAAACCACCCTGAACCCACAAATTTCGGGGCTTCGAACTTTAGTTGGCATTCCAACCCATCTTCAAAATATTTGTCAAGGATGATTGGTGTGTCATTTAGAAGGACAGACAAGTCGAAATATCTTGGTGTGTCATTCACAGCTGAGAAATTGCTGTGGCCCCATCTCCGTGATCTCAGTCCTTCAGTGGCTTTGTGCAATCTAAGCGGATGACTTCTTTGGACACCTTGACTTGTCGACTAGAGCAGTGCAGCTCATCAGCGGCATCTGTTCACGGTTTGGGGTTAAACCTTGAGAAAAAGGGAAGATGCAAGGTGTGCCAAACCCACTTAAACCTCCCAAACCTGCGACAAATCCACGTAAAGCAGAGATAGTGAGACTTAAGAAACGTTGTAAGGAGTCTCAGCTCACATTTCCTCCGAAACCAAATGGCAGAATGCCAATAGGTTCACTGCTTTCTTCCGGAAAAACACACATGCTTTGATCTTGTTGAGATACAACTTGCAAGTGATTTGGTAAGGTCCCCACCTGATAGATGCGCCACAATGCAGCATTCTCGTTTCGCACAGCACCAACCTAACAACGACTAAGGAAAAGACTACCCAATGCAACAAACTGTCACCCTCCACCCCTTCCATTTCAAAGACAGGACATAAATAGATATGTTTCTTTTTTTTGCAATTCCCTTTGAAGCCTGACTTTGTGCTTCTCTGTGTTATCTGTGACTGAATGGAGTCAAGACTGTCGCCAAGGCACGAGTTCATAGCCCGAGGGCACTGGCGTGTTGGCAACGAAAGCTCCTTGGTGAATCCGGAAGATGCTGCCCTGAGGGCAGTTGTTTTCCACATTTTCTCCAATCAGCGCAACACCAAGCATGGGCTTCAAAATCAATAGATCCAATGAATCATCCAGAAAATCAAACCTTTTCTGAGGCAATCTGAGGTAATATATATATATAAATAATATATATTTATATAATTAACATTAGATATGCACTGAAACTACTGCACTCAGAACTTGGTGCAGCCTTCAGGGCTGGCCGAGGCTGGCCGAGCTGGGTGCTCGAGCCACTGGCCCAGTTTCGGTCACGTGTGAAATTGCCGAAGCTCTTGTGCCTGGGAAATCTCCATTTTTAGGGGGACATCATCCAGAAATGGAGCATGGTTCATTTCCAGGTTTGATTACCAAGATAAATCTGCAAAGAAAGAACCGAGGTGCTGTCATATTGAATCCTATCTACATAAACACACACACACACATATATATATATATATGTATAGTTGCTGCTTAAAACCGTGTGTTTTTCTTACGGCGGAAACAGAAGGTGCAGTCTCTTGGCCCACCACGTCTTGTCAAGGAGGTTCTGGAACCTGCTGCGACTGCGATGACTGCGATGAGTATGGCTCTTCAGTGAAAACGTCAACGGCCTCTTGAGCAAATCAGCATCAGCCACCTTCACAAAGGCCTGGAGCTGCAAAACGACAAGCCGTCGATGTGTGATTTGGGTATCGGAGCCAAATAGGCTACCTCCAAAACTCATAAACAATACCAAAATCTTGGGGTTTGATGGGTTTGGTCGGAAATTGTGACTCATGGCCATGTTATAGAGAACCGCTACTAATTTGCAATGAAAATGATGATCCACACTTCTTACTTCCTTCAGCACCAATGTGGAGATATGAGACGAAAATCGGATTTCTGCACGCTGGTCAACTCCACTCACAGTTCGGGTTCATAGGGCACTTTTGCCCCGACACGCTTCTTGCATCTTCTTGCAATCCAAGGAAACTGCCATTGCCACAGTGAAATACGGTGAAAGAGCAAGAATTCAAGCTGACCGTGTACTATGTACACATGGAAGATGCAACAATCTTTTTGGGAACAAAGCTGTTCAACACTGTTTTTGATACATGGTAGGAGAGCTGCAAGAAAACCATCTGAAAAGTGCAAGTGTTTTCCACAAAGGGTGATGTATGCTGGGAGTACTCTGACTTCCAGCAATACGCCAGCGAGCGGTCTTCGCTCCCTGCACCCAGTTAGACAAAGTCACTGAAAGAATCTGCGATTTGAGTCTGTTTCAGGCCCAGGAAAACTGTGCGACCGCAAGCCCTTTGCAACAGCCAAACTCATATCATCCATATCAGTTCTATATTCCCTTCACAGATTTTGATAGGGTCTCTGCAGTAAGGGTCTGGAATTTGATCATGAGATGTTGCAGGCTGGTCGCAGTACATCGCACTGAACGCTGTCATCCATTGGATTTGCTGGAAGCACAGCCACAGCAGTTGCCTGCAAGTGGAAGGACACGCTCTGACTGCAAAGGCAGGGGGTTTGATGAGCAGATCACATCATAGACATCTGATAAGACAAACACTCGACCTTCACCTCACTTTGGCAAGGCTCTGATTAAACTTTCCGATATGACAGTCAAGAAATGTCAAGAAATCAAAGCAGATCTCCAAATCACAAAAACACCAGCTGTGTAGTTACAAGTACGAATAACGATGAACAAAAATGACTCGTGTTTGTCTTAAACAGGGGCAACCCTAGATTATCATGTCTTCCTTTTCAAATGGCAATGAGGGGCATCCTTCGTTAGAAAAATCCAGTTGGACATCTGAGCCACTCTAGGCCACTGATCTTGGCCGTGGAATCGTGTAAAGTATTCTGCTCCTGTCTGCGTTGCCTTGGGCAAACAAAAAACGGATGTATCAGATGAGGTTGACTCTTCAACTTGAAATCTCTCAGAGACCAACTTGACCTCCTAATCCTCATATGATGCTACTATTCAAGATGCAGAACCTGAAGGTACTTCCAGACGAGCTGCTTCAAACTTGAGATGTTTCTTCATCTTTTCCTTCAAAAGGCCGCCTTGGTGGAGAGCGGTTTTGGCTGCCCATTCTGGGGCATCGAGCCAGCAAGTTCGTGAGACCAAACCAGCCATTGTCAATTGTCTTGTAGCAATAGTCAAAGCTCTGGGTGTTTTCTCCACAAAATTGCTTGGTCGTCTCAACTGCTGAAAAAAATACTAGTCCATTCGGATCATCTCAGATAAGGTTGAAAGAAACAATGACACCACCAGGCAAACAACTTTTTTTGCTAATGTTGTTCCAGCTATCACTTCCAAGGTTCGGATATCCTCCGAGGCATGGTTTATACATCGAGGGTCCAGTTGGATAGCCTGCCACCTCAATGCATATCGACACGCGTCGCATGAGAGATATGGAGCTCAAATGTGTGACGCATCAAATACTTCTTGCACAACATTTGGAAGTCAAATTCCAACCATTTCCCTCCTCAGATGTTGCGTATGATCCGGTGAAACTTACATAACTTGAACACCTCCTGTCAAACATAAATCTAGGGCCAGCGGAAGGTAAATGCACAGGCCAAGTGACATGAAATCACTGTTGGAACGCAGTTCCTCTGCAGCAAATTGGATCGGCAAATTCCGCTGCGACTTCCTCATCTGCTGCAGACCCATACTAACTCGAATAGATGGGAGGGCCCCGCAGGTTGCTGTCTGCTGTCAGCAAAATTATGGCTCTACAGGTTACCGTTTTGTTTCCTGTGTGGTACAAGTGTCATGCTTGGCAACATTGAATATGTCTGTATGAAATTGTAGAATTGAATGAGCTTTTTAACCCAACACCCAACCCAAAACCACGTAGAACCACGTAGAACCTATGGAGGTTTCAATCGGTACCATTTGAACCAGGCTGATTCGATGGATCACGGTTGATTTTTTTGCTCAGCGGCCGAAGATCACCAGTCTGCGGAGCGGCTGGTGGAGCGGCTGGTACCCCCATTAAGTGGGATCAGTGGGGAAAACAAACAATATTTGAAACCACCAACTGAATGATGTTAAATGATGTTAAATGATATTAAATGATGTTAAATGATGTTAAATGTAACCCTCCAAAATGGGAATATGCTTCGACATCGATTTGACTACCACCAGCCACACATTTTTACAGTGCAGATTTTGGTCGCGCCTGTTGGTACAGCCTTTGGACTGCCAGCAGAACCATCTTTTCATCTCGTTGCCACTCCGGTGTCGCAAATTCCAAGGAGTTCCTTGGAGAGCTTCGGCAGTGTCCAAGCCTACAAACATGGGGAAACATGTTGAAGCCGCTGACACCATGAAAAATCCATGAAAAAACCATGAAAAGAACCGAATCAAATCAGCAAGCTCTGACTGTTTCATGTTGCAAGTTCATCCAAATGCAGAAAGGCATCCCTTCGTTCGTGCAGGCACAATGTACGATTTCCTGGTTGCACATTGGTGACAAGATAGCTTCGACATTTTTGGTGTCTCACCTTACTTTCATCTCAAAGCTATGTGGGTTCAACATTTCCAGACAAAAAAACTGAAAACTCAGGAATTGAGGAATCCTCTGATTGAGGAAAACTCAATGAGATCCAGAAGTGGTCACAGGCAACGCCGGCAACGGGCAGCAAGTTGCACCAAGAGTCGAAATCCCCACGAAGTCGCTCCGAAGCAAACTCCAGGGCACGGCCATGTTGCAACACCGCTTTCAAGGCCACCTCCTGGGATGGTGACGATGGTGTTCACGGGGTGACTTTGGTTGGTGACCAGTTGACCCATGAAAAATATGTAAATTTATTGAATGGAAATTTCGTGATATGTTCGTGGTGATTGGAAATCATCGTTTCAATATGTTTCAATTCATTTCATAATTTTCAGATCATCTCTCTCAGAATTCCAACATATTTCTGGATGGCAATTAGAACACAACACTCCTTTGCCATAACGAACTCTCATCTTGCTTTGTCTGTTGGACACTAAAAAAACTCCCAGAGAACTGCGTCATAAAGACCTGGCTCCTTGTCGTCTCGCAGCTCGGCTGAGGCATATTGCAGGGACTTGCCATCCTGCCAAAAAAAAAGATGTGCGGACCGTGCGGATGATGTCTGCATCTCTTTGTGCAACCCTGTGCTAAGGAATGTGCTCTGTCGCTGGAAATATCTTGGTTCAGTTGTGGGAAAACAAACAGGACTGCTTGGCGATCTGAAACACTTTGATCACTTGCATGACTCGTTCTTGAATTTGGACAACACGGAAATGCTCACAGTTTGAGAACCATAAAGACAACATTTTCACGAGAAAAACAACATAGACTCGCTCCAAAGCTTGGATTCTCAATCTCCAATATATTGGGTGGTATAAGCCCGGAATCATCAACGAGGATTCCTCGTGAGAAGTGATGGTTCCCAACCACATACTTCATCAAAGCCTATAACCATTTTATCAATAGCCCTATGAGTTGCATCATATGTGGATACCAACCCTTCTAAATTCGGGATACCAAGCCTATACGCTCTGGTTATTTAACATAGCTATGGAAAATGGGCCATTAAAAGATGGTTTACCCATCAAAAATGGTGATTTTCCATGGCGAACTGTTAAATAACCAGAGGGTAAACGATGATCAATTGTATCTCCATGATCAAAACCTCGGTGAAATCCCTACATCGACAGCATCGACATCGTGCGGTCCTTGGACACCGCCATGGAGACCAACTCTTTGTCTCCACGAAGCTCCGGCACGGCGTAGCCCAAGGTGCTGCCGGAGTGCTTCACTGCCTGGGTTCGAGTTCACGGATAGATTGTGACTGATGGTGAACTTATTCAATCAATTAATCAATTCAAATCAAATCAATCAATAAACACACACACATACATATACATATATATATATATATGTATATATATATATACAATGTAATTAATGCATGTGTCTATGTATTTGGGAGAAAACAACATCAAAATTCATCAAATTTTCCGCATGGGAATCCATGGACATGCTGACAGCAGATTTCGCAGCCTCCATCACCACCACAGGATCAGAGCGAGCATATTCCGGAGCGCATTTCAGCACACTTGGATCTGACTGCACCTTGATGACACTAAATGGCAGATATAAGGAATGAAACCCTCCCAGGCTTCCATCAATATCAAATAAACCTTTTTGAGTTTCCGTTCAAATAGCTGTCAAAATCTGACGCATGGGGAGTCACATTTTTTAGTCATCTTCCTTGAGCAAACATAAAACTTGGAGGGCCAAGACGTGACTAATCTCACCGTTTCTGGCTCAGTCATACATATTCATACATATTCATACAGTAATTCTTATGTAAGTTATAATTCAATATAATTATTTTACATATTCATACAGTACATATTCAATAGAATTTATCCATTTTTTTACCACATCTGTTCTCCATTTCCAGCCACGTGGCTCGTGCGATCCAGTCTTCTGCCCGGGGATCGCGGGAGATGATGACGAAGGTCAAGGTATCGCCGTTTTTGATCTTCGCAGCTGCGACCTTTCGGCCCTGCTTCAGCTGCTCTCCAGAGGGAGACAACAAGTGAAGCCTGCGAAGACACAAGATACAAGGAGAGAACACCGTTGCTACATGATATACTTTTTTGATATACTATACATATATATAAGTTGCTTTAAGGATCTTTAAGGTATATTTGTTGCCCTTGTGAGCTGCAGTTGCGACGATATCATCCCAAAACGTCGTGGACTTTGCTCATATTTTGTTACTCCGACAAGTTCGAGTTTATCGTACCACAACAATCCACAACATCTTTGCAGCATGTGCTGCTTGATGTGCTGATGTGGTTCTGCATGCCGCTGGCTGAGCCTCAGCACATCCCGCGGATTGTTGACGCATTGCTTGCCCAGCTCGAGCAGGTCCTTGGAATGTGGCATATGGATGCATGCGGATGCCCAAAAACCTGACCATCACATCGGAAAATTGCAGGTACCATATGGGAGACCCGGGCTAAGGGAGTCCCCTTGAAAGATATAGCTGTATATAGCACAGTACCTCAATGGAACAGTACCTGAATGGACCGACACAGTTTACGAGGCTCATTAAAGGTATCACTCGGTTCAAGTTTGTACTTCTCTGCCACTGTAGTGCCTGCGTGGCAAACGGTTCCACTGGGGCTGTGGACTTCTCAAGGAAATAAATTAAATAACGTTGTTAGCTGGATCTACAGGAGGACTCAGGTGCCTGTAGGAATGACCAATGTGGTAGGATGGTGAGTCCTAAATGGATCAGTTTGTGTTCATACTGATTATGCCGAAAGATATGATATCAAATCCCCATTTGCAAAGGCCTGCAAGTCTTCCCATGCGCCTGCAGGAGTCACCACATTCACATGGATCACCATGGCATCAGAGCCAAACAGCTGGAGGGGCAGTCAAAGACTGTGATAAAAAATAGAACTACTTATGGTAATATCGCAGAATTATGGATATCTCCTCAAACCTTCAGATCACTTTTTTGGCAAAAAAATGGCAATCTCCTTGGCAAACTCCAAGCCCTTGACTGAACTGCGGTGCGCGACCTGGTCTGGGTACTTCACGAAATCATCCTCCAACTGAATGCTGGGGACACAGGCCTTGCACCAATGGGATTTTGATGGGTGAGCAGCAAGAATCTCCACAATCTGGGATCATTTCCTCGATAGGTTAAACGGTTTAGCATGTTTCACTACCAAGAATGGTGTTTCACCACCAACATCCTCTGGTTGGCCTTTGAACTTTGCTTGGTGGTAATTCGGCCCATGGCCCACCCTGAAGTTTGCACTTTGTTCCACTCATGTGTGGCTGGCAGCAGCGGGAAGTCGTTCATAGTGGCGCAATGTGATGTGCATCGTTTGTGCCCTGCCTCGAGATATTTGATGGCAGCCTCTTGTCCCGCACTTTCGGCGATTTGCAAAGCTGTCTTGCCATCCTCAAAACAACTGCGTTTTGCCGAATGGAATATTGCTCTATTTAGGTTCTTTAATGCTTTTGGCAAATTGATCCAAACGTTTTGAGACCTTCTCATACCTTGGGAACAGCAAAAAACGGACGGCACAAGAAAAGACAATCGTGGGATCTTGTGCAGTGGATATATCATAGTTATCATAATGTATTGTGTCGTGATCCATCGATGTCCCCACATTGCATCACACTTCCAGCTCCGCCTTGGTCAGGAGCTTCACATTAGCCTTGTAGTCTTCAAGCAGCTGTCGAAGCACCTCGATGTCTCCGTGGAATGCTGCCTGGTGCAGCACGCCGTATTGGCGCACCTCGAAACGCATCGGGATGAAAACGGAGATGCCAACCCCTGACTTGGGGTATGTATACATATACAGTCATATCTCTATATATATATATATCTATGGGTATAGTCTGATTGAGAGCTCTTTGCAGTGTTTGAGAACTTGTCATCGAATTCATAGAAGTTGTCCTCGTTTGCAAGAAGTTGTGCACGTTTCACAGAAGTTGTGCACGTTTCACACGCACCCCTAATAACGTTCGTGTTCAACTGCTGTGGAATGGACGGCTCTCATTGGGGGCTCTTAACCAGACTATCCCGTATATGGGTATATATACATATATAATATGTACAGAATACATACATGTACATGAATACATATGTATATGTATGTACATGTATGTACATGTATGTATATGTATGTACATGTATGTATATGTATGTTTTTGTTGTATGTATGTGTCTATGTATATGTATGTGTATATGTACATGTATTGTCTGTGTTAAATCCCTGTGGATGGGTAGAACCCCCTGGTTGGGGGATTGCTATTGATCAGAGAAGCCTTGATAAACCAATAGTGACATGGCACACCCACACGTATTCCTATAGTCCTATAGGTTTACCCATTCATAAGCGGTAGTGTGGTACATGATAATGAAACCAAGTTAAAGGTGAACAAACATCCGAATGGCAAAAAAGAGGATTAGTTTGTTCTTGGGTTTACGACAGTATTGAGTACATTAACCCTTATCAACAGGGGCATGACTATCCCCCTAATACGGGTCTACCAACCTCACGTTGTGAGCATTGCACATATGATGAAGCTTCTTAAAGGTCTTGAGAAAGAACGGACCACTCCTTTGAAAAATAACGAAATCAATCTTTCCGAATTTGTGAGACATTCATTTCAAAATGACAAATATATGGCATAAATCCAAACTATGAAAGTTGGAGCCACATTTCACAAATTTGTTGCTTCATCCGCAGCTTTGGACCAGTCACTGACGGCCGCGTGTTCACGACCTGCTGTGGGTTTTTGAAGCCTTTCAACAACTCGAAGGTGGCATCCTCAGTGGATGCAGTGCTTTCGGATGTGATGAATTTGACAAAATCAGGCAGTTTTCACATGTTTTAAGTAACCAGAATGGGGCTTCAAGCGACGCTATAACAAGAGTGACTCTGACCCAACCAAATGCTGATATTTATTGGATGCAAACTGGTGCTCTACCAATGGTGCTGTAGGGTCAAACATAGCATCCCAAAATGGATGGATCAATACTAAAGAGATCCAAAATTGATGGGGTTTCGAGCCACATTTCCGATGGTTCAATCATGTTCAGTTCCAAACCTTGCTGCTCACTTTAAATCTACATCCAAATTGGTTGACAGAACAATCAATTTTATGCCTAGAAAAAGAAATCCATGTTTTTGTTGCTGACATCATCCATTCCTGAACATTCTTGTCTCGGTGGTTTCAACTCTACAAAGAACTGGAATTGGTCATGGGGGATAATAGTCATCCAAGTCATCCAAGTCATCCAAGTCATCTATCTAACCACCGGTTCCAGTCCATATTGGGATGATCATCCCATCCCAAATCTGACTGTTTTATGTGAGGAAAACAATGATTTCTGACTTGGTCGGCTGAGCCCAAGGCCCACTTACCCTCCTTAGCAGCATCGATGACCTGGAAGCGGGAAGCAGGGTATGCAGGTTTAAGTTCCTAATTTTGGGCACAATCAATTTGATAAAGCGAACTGGACAATTGATCAGTGCTTTCCCATAATCATAGTGCTTAGCGGTTTAGCTAAAGAGTGACCAAACATCTAGCGGTTTATCATGGTTTATCATTATTCAGACCATTTTTTGACATTAACATGCCAAATGTCTGGACCAAGCCGTACTTGGCTCCGGGTCCAGTGATTGGTGTAGCAGTGGGCCGACACAATTGACATTCTTATAGGACAATCGGACAAAAGGACATGTAGCTCGCTGGGTTTTTCAAATGTTGACCTATGTCCCTGCAATTTCTGGTTACATTCTATTATCCCAAATCCACCCCAGTAGTTTTGGTGATAGCCTTGCCATCCTCATCTTCCATACCCAAGGGAGATTTAAATCAGATCAGACTTCTATCAAGTTGGTTATTAGTTGGTGGATGGGTTAACTTTCTTTAGCCCATTAACAAATGGATGGCTTAAGACTGAACATGAGCAATTTTGTGGCTGCAACATGGTGCAACGGTGCCCGAGTTTTAAGCCACACTCAGCTGACAATCCGAGTGACCCCTATATGAAAAAACGATTCAGATATTTCCATACATTTTAAATAATAGCTGGTAAGGGATTTTTTCATGGTGAATTTCCCCCATATATTGGGACGGGTTAACACCAGCCCCGAATCATCAGCGTCCATGGTCATCCCAAGGCCTGATGCGCCTGTTGCAACAAGGCAGCAGCCTCGGCGCTCACCTGGCGCCATCTGTGTGGGATGGCAACGAAAAGACACCTCGATCCTGGCCCAGTCCTCCCTGGGGTTGGCCTCCAAAGTGTTGAGGTATTCGGCGACCTCCGCTTGTCCCAACTGCTCCGCCACTTGTAAAGGCGTCTCCTTGTCTCGTGTGAGAAGACCTGTGCATCGCTGAGCTGCATTTTTTCTGTTCAGTTTCAGCATCATGGCTGAACATTACGATTTGTTTCCCACCCCTGTCGTGAAACATGGAGAATTCAATGGAGCTTTTGAAAACTCCATGGAGTTTTGTGGGGATATAATGGAATATGTTATAATATATATACATACATATATAGTATAGTATAATATAAAATAATGTTATATAATACCAGTAGTACCGCACAAGGCGGTGGCGGAAGTTTCAAAAATAGGAAACCTATAGGAGAGATTGGTTGTTGTGAATCAAGGATGGCAGAGCGAATCCACTGATGGACCGAAAGGTGCTTGAGGTCTCCTCTCTTTCTCTCTCTTTCTCTGACTATCTACCTACCTACCTACCTATCTATCTTCTATGCATCTATCTATCCATCGATCTCTCTCTATCTCTCTCTCTCTCTCTCATCTAATTACCTATCTATCTATCTATCTATCTGCCTGACTGTCTGTCTATCTATCTATCTCTCTCTCTCTTTCATCTGTCTATCTGTCTAGCTGTCTATCTGTCTATCTGTGGTGCAGTGTCATTCAGTGTAATTCAGTGTAATGTAGTGTAGTGTAATGTAGTGGAGTGTAGTGGAATGTAGTGTAGTGTAGTGTAATGTAGTGTAGTGTAATTTAGTGTAGTGGAGTGTAGTTGTGTAGTTGTGTAGTTGTGTAGTTGTGTAGTTGTGTAGTTGTAGTTGTAGTTGTAGTGTAGTGGAGTGTAGTGTAGTGCAATGTAATGTAGTGAAGTGTAGTGGAAGGTAGTGTAGTGTAGTGTAGTTTAGTGTAGTGGAGTGTAGCGGAGTGTAATTTAGTGTAGTGGAGTGTAGTTCTGTAGTTGTGTAGTTGTGGTTGTAGTGTTGTGGAGTGTAGTGTAGTGTAATGTAGTGTAGTGAAGCGAAGCGACATCTGAACCTCCAAAAGTGGTCCGAACCCCTGGTGTTTTGTACATTTTGACTTCCAAATGTGCTTCGCGCCACAACGGCGTGCACTTTTTCGACATCTGAACTTCCGAAAGTGGCCGAAAAGTGTGTGTTTTGTACATTTTGACTTGAAATGTGCTTCGCGCCACAACGGCGTGCACTTTTCGACATCTCAACTTCCAAAAGTGGTCCGACACTGAGGTGTTTTGTGCATTTTGACTTCGAAATGTGCTTCGCGCCACAACGGCGTGCACTTTTTCGACATCTCAACTTCCAAAAGTGGTCCGACATTGGTGTGTTTTGTACATTTTGACTTGGAAATGTGCTTCGCGCCACAACGGCGTGCACTTTTTCGACATCTCAACTTCCAAAAGTGGTCCGACGCTGGGTGTTTTGTACATTTTGACTTGGAAATGTGCTTCGCGCCACAACGGCGTGCAATTTTTCATCTCTCATCTGGCCAGCTGGCTCCGCACCCGCCGCTTTAGCGAGCCTACTTTTCGACCCTCCGGAGCCACAAATCATTGGAAAAACACAGTGTTTCGCGACTTTCCTACCTTTTCGCGCATCTGCATCTTCTTTCTTCTGACTCTTTCTCTTCTACTCTTCTCTCTTCTAATCTTTCTCTTCTCTCTGCCTCTGCCCTGCTCGGCTTTTCATCTGTCCATATTGTCGGAAGTTTGACTTCTAAACTTCCTTCGATAATATCAAATATATATAATTTTAAATGCCTGCAGTTTCCGCCTGGATTCGCTCCACTGTCGACCATCCGCTTCAGGGTCTCCACGTGTCCTGCGAAGACCACTTGATGGATGGCCTCGGAGATTTTCATGGATTTTCTCCAGCTTTTGGCAGGAAAAACACACGGTGATTGAAAAGGTGTAACTTGGGAATTCACAGGTCAATTTAACTGCACCAGAGTTTCGGCATCGCTGAACGAAGAATTCCGGATTTGTAGAGTGGATCTATGAAAAATAGCATAATGTGATAATCAGGGGATAAGATATCCCTCCTTTTTTTAATGTTTGCGCTGATGTGGACACATTTTTAGCACTTAACATGCGCAGGTCCCTCAGATTTAATCGGTGGTCTCTCTGTCAGATTTAGTCAAAGGTGGGACATGTGACAGTCCCAGATAATTATGCTTAGTTCTGTTTCAACAATTCCATGAAGCATCTGGGAATCTAGCAGCATATTTGCGGAACTCAGGTCTCATATTCTGGCAACCTCCAGCTTGCAAAACAATCACCAGAAACGACGCCACAAACGAAAAATGGCAAGCGTTGCTACAAACAGCTTCAGCGTGTTAGTTGCATCATTGCTGGCATCTTTTCCACCTGGATAGACGTCGAAGATCTCGAACATCTCATCCCATCTTTCCCACTTCGCATGCTCTATCGCCTTGCGACTTGCACAGCTTCATGACGACAAGATAGGACAACTTCGGTTGTGGAGCATCGACAGCTGTTCGCACCTCATTGGCCTTTTCCATCAGCTGTTCGGGATCCTTGAAACTAGTGGAATTGGAAGGATGTTCGGTTTTGGAAAAACATATCATATATATATATGATATGTATATCATATAATATATCTGTCCTTCGAAGTGTTTGTTTCTCTTTTATGACAATCTAAGTTGATCATAGTTGATCTATATCATCTTTGATTCATCACTGGAGTGAAGTCTCATGGACTTCGCTGAGATTTGCACGAGTTCACATGCGCCCCCACGAAGCATCTTCATGGGCGGTTCTTCAACTTCCGACTCCCTAAGTGATGAGAAATGATGAGAACTGTGAGAACTGCGACGTCAAAACGATGCTTCTCGAGAAACAACCCGAAATTGATATCCGAGAGTTTCATGGCACAAACATGAGGCTGACTCAATTCACTGCACAATAACAGTTTCAGATATGTTTTACTCGAGCTCCCCTATGATGTCTTCATATTTCATACTGATTTGAAAAAGAAACAACTTAACAGGATCTTAGCTCCCATTTTGGGTTCCCCAGCTCGTCGTCATCGTTGTCTTCTGCTGCGAACTCCTGCAGAATCCAAGGGCTGGAGGGAATGAGAAAATTCTATGGGTATATGGTATACGGTTTTTGGGTATCGTCGTAGCACGCATATTATGCTGTGAAGATGGTGGTGACATCAGTCCTGCAAGCAGGTGACGACTTCATCGCTTCCATTTTCTTGTGCCTGGCATCATTGGTTTCAATAGCTGGATTGAATTTTTGACCCTGGTGATATCTGTAAGATGTCAAAGGGATGGATTTCCATGTGCACACGACAGGATAGTTGATATATGTTGATATGTGTTTGAGATTTGTTGACCACCCTTCTAGTTATCATACCTGGAAGGATGTGCTTGGCTTAGTTTAGGCGGGTTGCTCCAAGGTCCCAAGGAGCTTTGTAGGCCCAAAAGTCATTGCCATTCAGCCACTCAAAACCTTGAGCGCAAGTATCCCTGCTTTTCACAGGGAGCCATCGACTATGATAAGAGACATATTGAATCCCAATTCTTTTTGCTTCCAATCAGATTACATCCCAATTTAGTTGGTCAATCAACTGTTGTTGTGGGTAGCCATATTCATCGCCCCAAACATCATCTTGACCGGCCGGTCTTGATGGTTGTTTTTCAGGCACATTGCATGCCAGTTGTTGAATCCTCTGAAATCCACTTCTGTCGTGGTCTCGACAAGAGCTGGGCTGATTGGATCCTGAAAGGTAGCCTTCAAAATCCTTCAGAACTTTTTGTGCATCCTCGGTTGTGTGCAAGGTACTCACAAGATTCAACGATGCAAAAGGGCCGAGTTGCTGGTGACCCTGTGATCCAATAAGCCGAGAGGATCCATTTGCCTTAAAACTTTGAATTACATGGGTCTGATCGCGCAGTTTGTGTAATATTTGCCACTCAAAAAAGCTCTGGAGATTAGAAAGTTCACATTGCCACTTGACCCATTCAAGAGAAATCACTTTGGACTCAAAGAAAGGCCCCCGCATTTTTGTTGCGGGGAGCCGCAAGCCGGCCGCTCGCACGTCTTTTCAAAGGGGTTGCGGAAGACGTGAAATGAAAATCGCTCAGTGCTAGTCAAGAGAGCATCCACGTTCACGCATTCGCCCTTCGCATAGAAAGGACCCTTGTCCAGTATGAACCTCGGGTGTGGATTACTGGGCCCTTCAAAAACCCAAATCGCAAAACGGGTGGCCCTTCACTCTTAGACGTCATGTTCGAAAAGGAGGCGAAAACAAGAGGCTTGAGCTGGGAAAAGTACAAGGAATCTTGAGCTTAGCAACATGACGTGCAGCATGCCTCTGTAGCAGACACAGTAGAGAAAGCAGGCCAGCAGCGGCCAGAACTGGATACCTGCAGAAGCACATTTGTTGGACAACATTTGTTGGACATTTTTGGAGCATGCTGCCCAAAGCAAACATTGGTTATCCGTTATCCACAAATGGGGTATACCCGGTACACCCCAAATCCAATGGTTAAGCATCATGTTCCCCATGAGAATTGCCATCAATTCGGACATACCGCATGTTCAGAGACACCAAAATAAACAACTGTCTCCCTGTGCAAATGGCAGTTTGCACGCGTTGGTGTCTTTGTACATCTTTGATGGGTAGCCTCAGCTGGCGGGAAATCACTGCAATCTGCAATGGATGGAACTTGTGTGTTGCTCTCCTTTCATAATCCGGGTACCCTCTGGTAAACTAACATAGCTATGGAAAATCACCATTTTTAATGGGTAAATACACTATAGATTGCCATTTTCAATAGCTATGTTAAATTACCATTTGGCATTTGGCACGAGCTTCGGTGCGCTTGTGACACTTTTTTTATTCTTTGTCTTGTCAGGCATACATTTCAATCTGATCTTATTGTGAGGACCCGCAGATTCTAACATAGGGCCCCGTAGGGGCTTTCAGTCCACATGAAAACACTCACGCAGCATCCTTCTGAAATGTTTTGGATTCCTTTTATTTACCCAGGCATCCTATCCTTAGTTGACCCATGGCAGATGAACCCGGTGGCACGGCGCCCTCGCCGACTGAACGCACAGTGGCCATCTCACAGGAGGATTATGATCTCCTTCAAAAATTGAAACAGCAGACAGACCCAGAACAGAGAACGGCATCCCAAAACGACAAAAGTTGGACGATGAAGCTCTGCAGACTTTTGTGGAAAGTTTAGCCACTAGAGGCATTGAATGGATGGACCTTGATCCTGCCCTGCGTCACTTATTGAAGACTGACCCGGAGGCCAGGAAAGACTTTCAGCAGGTACAGCTGACACCCGACCAAGCACGTGCATATGATCCCTCCAAGAAGGAATTTGCCACCATTGACCTCAGCAAGAAACGAATTTTTTCGGAAGTCGATGACATCATCAGCAAGACCCCTGTTTTAGAAATCCCTGAAGAATCCATCAAAGCAGCAATGCTTGAATATCACAGTCAATCGGTGATCCCAAGCTTCGATAAGCTTTGGCGAACATGTGCTGACTTTTACTCCAACACAGTCCTGGAGTCACAGTATGTCCAGCTCACCTTGGATATGATGAGCACCCGGCTTCGTTCTCTGGAGCAGTCCCGTGCAAATCGAACAGTCCTGATTCGAGGCCTCCCAGCCTTTGGCTACACAAGGTCATCACTGGAGAAAAATGTGACTTACTTCCTGTCTAAGGCTTCGCTGGATTTCTCATGTGTAGCTGCAATGCATACCCATGTTGTGAACGCGTCCTCGTCCATCATGAGGCTCGAACTGATGACGGAGGAGCAGCGCAGATGCCTGTTCCAAGCAATGCGCACTTCAAAGCAGATGTGGCGCATGCCAAACCATGAGGCGAAAGCAAAAGTAGAACAAGATTTGTCGACTGACGAAAGGATCGCTTTGCAGCTGTATTACGCCATGTTAGATATCCTCCAGCATGTAGCACCAACCGGACCGACTGGCCAGCTGCAAAGCGATCGCAACACGCTGCAAATATGGTCTGGGGCGGTTACCCCTGAGACGCAAGGCTCCCTTCTTTGCCAAGTGTGCTACTTGCTGGATCACCGCTTTGCGAGGCGGTACGTGTGCGTGGTGTTTGTGGCTGAGGAGTTCTATGACCAAACACTGGCTCGGTGGCATGAGGCATTCTCCGCCCGCATGAGCTCCACATTGCTATTGATCCAAGCCCTCCAGCGAGCAGTTGGTGACCGAACCACAGTGGCACGGCATTCGTACACAAAGGCATTTGATCTGGCAAACATCCCTGACCCACAGCTGCATTTCGGATATCCTGTGATTCCGTTGAGTATGTCAACATCGTTGGCGACATTACTGGAGAAGCATCCCTCGCTGCCTTTACAAGGCTCCTCTGGCTTGTTGGCAACCATTTCGCAAGTTTTCCAAGATTATGGGGTGCAAGCTGAAGATTTTGGAAAAGGGACCACCAAAGGTAAGGCACCTACTGGTAGTTTGGATTCCCCCAAGAAAGGCAAAGGGGGTTCAAAGAGCTTGGATCCTCCCAAAAAGGGCAAAGGTGGGTCAAAAAGCAACAAGCCTTGGTCAAACTGGCAAGATCGAGACCCTGACCAATCGAAGTGGCACTCGCGAAAGGATGATGACAACCAAGATGGCCCCTCTGGGTCGAGTTGGCCCTCCAAACCATCCCCGCTCCGCGCAACATGGCAAAGTCGACCTACAGGAAAAGGCCGCGCTTCCACTAAAGGAAATGTGCGTGGCGGGCGATCATGGGATCTGGTACTTTGCCAGCTATGCCTATGTGCTTTGGGATGGAATCTGGACTGCCCCGAGTGTGGAAAGTGTGATGCTCCTGTTGGTATGAACAAGCAATCAGCGCCTGTGCGGGCCTTGTGGTGCCCAGGCGCAACCACGGATGGCCGAATCTGCAGCAAGCTCCTTGGATTTGGCTCTTGCAGCCTGTGTCGGGCACATGTTGACTATTGGCATTCCAAGGACCCCGTGCTCACCTTGACTCCATTCAGAATGGCAGAAATCTACCAAGTGGACCGATTCCTGTATGACTATGATGTCACACAGCTTAGCGATGAATACCTTCGTGGATACACGGATGACATCCACGACAAACTGGGTGACTCACAGCCGGGCGATTTCACGATAGAGCAATGGGTTCTTGCGTGGGCCCTCCGTGTTCTGACAAAAGATCACAAATTTTTGCCGCTGCTGCAATCATCGGCGTTGCCATTTGAAATCAATCCTTCTTTGACGGAGGAGTATCTCCACAATGCAGGTGGGGTCTTCACCAAGCAGGTGAATGAGCACTTTGCTCTGCTGGATCTTTTTGTTTATATTTTTGAAGACCACTGGAACAATGATTGGGAATCCTTCACGGAGCAGTGGGAACTCGCAGACTGGACCCGGGAGCTTCCTGTCGCAACAGCGGCAGTTGTTCCATGGGATGCGATGGTGGCATGTTCATTGCACTTCACGTTTGAGGACCTGCTAGCCGAACAACTGATCTCTGGTGAACCGCCGCCGAAAATCACTCAGGACCTGTTTGTATTGTTAGGTTCATCTCTGGATTGTGAAGATTCCCCGTTTGACACCATCAGACAGAACTTTGCACACTGGTTGAACCATAGCCCTCAAAACATTGAGATCTTCATGGGCAGTAACCTCTACACCAATGAGACCTTGCGACATCTGAGTGGCTTTGCGACATGTTTCACGGATGTATGTTTTTGGCAGCTTTCCAGGGCTTACATGGTACAC